CACATTTCTTAGTGCACACCTCTCACAGACCCATGCCACTCACCACACACACACTGCACAGTGCACATACCTATCAAAGATACACACTACTGAACACACTCCACAGTGCACTTCACACAGAAACAAACCATGTACTGCACACAGTTCACACATGCACTCCAAAATACTTCTCAGACATTCCTCACCACCCACACCACACAATCCACAGAGCATACACATCAGACACCACTCACCACACACACTCCACAACACCTAAGAAACACACCTCGCATTACACACTTCACACAACACATGCCAGTGTGTGTGCACTCCACAGTGCACACACCTCAGACACACCACTCATCAAACACAACACTGCACAGTGCACACACTTCTCAAAGACACACACACACCACAGTGCACACACCTCACACACAACTCACCACACACCGTCATTTCACAGTGCACACACCACACAGACACACCACTCACCACACACACTTTGCATGCATCACAAATACCACACAACACACACTACACATTGCATACAACCCACACAGATGCACACCACTCAGCAGCACACACTCCACAGTTCACACCTCACACAGACACCACACACGCTGCACAGTGCACATAGCTATCAAAGACACACCACTCAACACACACTCAACAGTGCACACACCTCAAACACACACCACTCCACACACCCAAACTCCACAGTGCACACACCTCACACCATGCACCACACTCCACAGAGCGAACCCCTCACACATGAAATACAATCCACACTCCATAGTGAACACACCTCACACAAACCACACATTACACACTACACAGTGCAGTGGCCTTACGCATACTCCACTCACCACACACTCCACAGTGCACACACAGGCACACTACACACCAGACACTCCACAGTGCACACACCTCACAGAGACACATCACTCAACACACTGCACAGTGCAAATACCTCTCAAAGATACACATCACTCAACACACTCCACAGTGCACACACCTCTGACACTCCACTAACCACACATTCCACAATGCACACACCTCACAGACACCACTCACCACACTTCACAGTGCACACTCCTCAGAGGAACACACCATGTACCACACACACTCCACAGTGCACACTCCTGACACACCACTCATCATACACTCCACAGTGCACACTTCACACATGACTCACCTCACATTCCACAGTGCACACACCTCATAGACATGCCATGCACCACACTCCACAGAGCAGACACCTCACAGACGCATTATGAAACCACACTCCACAGTGAACGCACCTCAGACACAAACCACACATCACACACACTACACAGTGCACTGACCTTTCACAAACTCCACTCACCACACACTCTTCACATAATCCACAGTGCACACACACACTGACACTACACACCACACTCCACAGTGCACACACCTCAGACACCACTCACCACACACTGCGCAGTGCAAATATCTCTCAAAGATACACACCACTCAACACACTCCACAGTGCACACACCTCTCACACCTAACCACACACTCCACAGTGCACACTCCTTAGAGGAACACACCATGTACCACACACACTTCAGTGTATACACATCATACACCACTCCCCACACATTCCACAGTGCACACACTTCACACACACCACACACTTCACAATACACAGCCCTTACACAGACATTCCACTCAACACACACTCCACACACACTTCACTGTCCTCAAACCTCAGACTAACACCACACACAAACACTTCACAGTGCTCACACCTCTTGCAGTCAGAAACCACTCACTACACAGTGCACACCCCTCAGACATAACACTCACATCACACATTCCACAGTGCACACCTCATACACACCATGCAGCACACACTCCACAGAGCACACAACTCATAGACACACCACACAACACACACTTGACACTCCACTGTGAACACACCTCAGACGCACCACATACACTACACAGTGCACACACCTTTCACAGACTGCAGTCACCATACTCCACGCACACACTCCACAGTGCACACACCACACAGACACCACTCACCACAGTCCAAAGTGCACACACCTCACTCAGAAACAACCCACTCACCACACACACTCCACAGTGCACACCTCATACAGGCACACGGCACTCAACACACCACATTTACACACCTCAGACACACCACTCACCACACACACTTCACATTGCACACACCTCACAGGGACACACCACTCAACACTCCACAGTGCACACACCTCACAGGGACACACCACTCACACCACAGTGCACACACATCACAGACACGCTGCTCACCACACACACTCCATGGTGCATACACATAACGCAGACAAGCACCACTCACCACGCACACATTCCACAGTGCACAGCACACTGACACACCACTCACCACACACCAGTGCACACACCACACAGAAACAGACCTCACAACAAAAACAGTTCACACCACTCATTACCCACACACTGCAGCACACACATTTCAAATGAGCACATTACACACAACAGTTTGCACATACACTTTACAATGCACACCTCACACACTACAGTGCACACGTCACACAGTCACACCATGCACCAGACTCTACACACCAGTGTACACACCTCACACACACTTTGCACCACACTCCCCACACACTCCACAGTACACACACCTCACACACACCACTCAAAACACTCCAAAGCACACACACTCCACACACATCTCACAGACACACAACAGGCTCCACACTGCACACCTCACATAGACACCACTCACCACACAATCCACAGTGAACATCGCTCACACAGGCACACGCTCACCACACTGCAGTGCAGACAGCTCACAGACACTGCTCACCACACACACTCCACAGTTTACACCAGTTTACACCTCACACCACCACTGCACACACTTCACAGTGCACACACCTCACAGACACACACCACTCATCACAATCCACAGTGAACATCCCTCACACAGGTACACACCACTCACCACACGCACTCCAGTGCACACAGCTCAGACACACACCACTCACCACTGACACATTCCACAGTACACACAGCTCACACTCCTCACACACCACAGTGTACACACCTCACACAGACACACACCACTCACTACACACACTCCACAGTGCACACACCTCACACAAACACCACTCACCATTTGCACACACTCCACAGTGTATACACCTCACAGACACACTGGGCACCACACACTCCACAGTGTTCACACCTCACAAAAACAACACTCGCCAAACTGACTCGAGTGCACACACTTCAGAGATGCACACCACTCAACACATTTCACAGTGCACACACCTCACAGACACACACCCTTCACCACACACAAACACTCCACTGTGCATGCACCTCACACAGACCCACACCATTTACCTCACACACCACGCACTACATACAGTCCAGAGCAAACATTTCCCACAGACACACCATGTAACTCACTTTAAAAACACACTCCAAAGTGAACACATTTGACACACATCACATCACAGTGCACACAGCTTTCACAGACCCACTCCACTCACCACACATTCCACACACACACTACACAGTGCACACACTACACAGACACACAACTCACCACACACATACTCCACTGTTCACACCACTCAAAAAGACACACGTCACCAAACACACTGCAGAGTGCACACACCTCTCAAAGGCACACAACACACACTTCACAGTGCACCCACCTCTCAAAGATACACACCACTCACCACATACCCACTTCACAGTGCACACACTTCAGGCAGACACACCACTCACACACTCCACAGTTCACACACCACACAGGAACCCACCATGCACCACACACACTCCACAGTGCACATACCTCACACAGACTAACCACTCACTGTAAACACAAAACACAAACTCCACAGTGCACACACCACACACACACCATGCACCACATACACTACTCACACCACAGTGCACACCCCCACACACCACTCACCACACACTCCACAGTGCACACACCTCATGCAAACACACCACCACACACAACACACATTTCACAATACTCAAACTGCACAGTGCACACTCCACACAGGCACATACTATGCACCACACCCCACACACACTCCATAGTGCACACACCTCAAAGACACACACCACTCACCACAACCACTCTCCAAGTGCACATGCCTCAGACACACACCACTTACCACGCACTCACTGCACAGTGCACACACCTTATACAGACACATACCACTAAACACACTCCACAGTGCACACACTTTTCAAAGACACACCACTCACCACAAACATGCTCCAAGTGCACACACCTCACAAAGCCACACACTACTCACCACACACGCACTCCACAGTGCACATACCTCACATAGAAAAACGCCACTCACCACAACCACGCGCTTTCCACATTGCACACATCTCACGCAGAAAGACACCACACAAAACACATTGCACAGTGTGAAACCTCAGACACCACTCACCACACACACACTCCCCATGCAGACACCTCACAAGATCCAGACTAACCACAGACACACACTGCAGTGCACACACCTTACACAGACCACTCACCACACACACACTTCACAGTGCACACACCTCACACACGACACACACTTCACACACCACAATACACAGCCCTTACTCAGACACATGCCACTCATGACACGTTCCACACACTCCACAGTCCTCAAAACTCAGACTTAACACCACTGACCACACACACACACACCACGGTGCTCACACATCTCGTCACACACCACGGAAGACACACACACACACTACACAGTGCATACCCCTCACATCGACACACACAAACCACACTGCACAATGCACACCTCTCAAAGGCACACACTAAACACACTCCACAGTGCACACACCTCTCAAAGACACACACACTCTACAGTGCACAAACCTCACACAAGACACACACCCCTCACCACACACACACACTCTGCATTTTTCTTCTAGACCAATTCATGTTTCTAAAAAATGTAAAAACTTAAAATTCTGTGTTGATTCATGTTTTATAGGCAACCACATTATTGTTGAAACAAGACTACAAAGAAGGAGAAATGATGTTGAAGTCAGCACTGGCTTTAGCTATCAAAGTGCTAAATAAGACCATGGATATTAGTTAACTGTTTGCTGAGAAAGGTAATTCATATTCTCTCCTTTAATTCACTCCATTAGACCGAGTGAGTTAGGTTTTAATGTGTTATCCTAGTTCATTGAAACAGCCGCCCTATGAATTAGGTAGTGTTATTCCTGTCTTCTAACTGAGGACACTAAGACTTACTGAAGGTAAGTGAGTTGACCGAGATCAACATTGGTAAATTGTGGACACACTATTCTCAATACTCACAGAGAGAGATCCTGCACCATGCTACTTTTAGTAAGTTATCAAATCTTCTCATCAGTGATATCTTTGCTTGTATGTGTGATAAAACATATGCATGTAGTTACATATTTTACATAGGTTTGGTATTCTTTAACAGAGATACAAAATTTACATGGGTTGTGATACCCTCTTTATTCTTTTGAATCTACTAATCTCATTTTAAGCTTATGTTAGCAATTCCAAATACTTTGTTCAAGATTTCAGGCCAGGTGCGGTGGCTCATGCCTATAATCCCAGTACTTTGGGAGGCTGAGGTGGGCAGATCACCTCAGGTTGGGAGTTTGAGACAAGCCTGACAAACATGGAGAAACCCTGTCTACTAAAAGTACAAAAAGTTAGCATGGTAGCGTGTGCCTGTAATCCCAGCTACTTGGGAGGCTGAGGCAGGAGAATCACTTGAACCTGGAAGGTGGAGGTTGCAGTGAGCCAAGACAAGATCACAACATTGCACTCCAGCCCAGGCAACAAGAGTGAAACTGTTTCAAAAAATATTTCAACTGGGCATGGTGGCTCACTCCTGTAACTCCAACACTTTGGGAGGCCAAGGTGGGCAGATCACCTGAGGCCATGAGTTCAAGACCAGCCTGGCCAACATGGTGAAGCCCTGTCTCTACTTCTGAAATACAAAAATTAGCCTGACTTGGTGGTGCACACCTGTAATCCCAGCTATTCGGGAGGCTGAGGCAGGAGAATCACTTAAACTTGGGAGGCAGAGGTAGAGGCTACAGTGAGTCGAGATTGTGCCACTGCACTCCAGCCTGGGTGACAGAGACTCCATCTCAAAAATAAAAAATATTTCTAAATGTTTTTAAGAAATTATGGTAAATTAACATGTCACTTTAGATTAGGACAGTTTAGCTCCTGGTGTTCCTTAGAAAATGCCACTTATGGCCAGGTGCACTGGCCAACACCTGTAACCCCAGAACTTTGGGAGATGAAGGTGGGTGGATTACCCGAGGTCAGGAGTTTGAGACCAGCCTGGCCAACATGGTGGATGGTGAAACCTCGTCTCTAGTAAAAATACAAAAAATTAGCCAGGCATGGTGGTGCATGCCTGTAATCCCAGCTATTCAGGAGGCTGAGGCAGGAGAATTGCTTGAACCTGGGAGGCAGAAGTTGCAGTGAGCCAAGATTGTGCCACTGCACTTCAGCCTGGGCAACAAGAGCGAAACTCTGTCTCAACAAAAAAAAACAAAAAGAAAGAAAATGCCATTTACATACAGATTGCCCTCTGTTGTCTTCTTCCACCCAATTTCAAGGAGACACTACTCAATTTCCCTAGTACAAAACAATTCCTTCCCCTTTGGCTTTTAGTCTGCTTTTCTTGGCCATTTCATGCCTTTTTTTGTTCTGTTTTTGAGACAGTCTCACTCTGTCACCCAGGCTGGAGTGCAGTGGCGTGATCTCAGTTCACTGCAATCTCTGTCTCCCAGGTTCAAGTAATTCTCCTGCCTCAGCCTCCTGAGTAGCTGGGACTACAGGTGCCCACCACCATGCCCAGCTAATTTTTTTTGTATTTTTAGTAGAGACAGCGTTTCACCATGTTAGACAGGGTGACCTCAATCTCCTGACCTCATGATCCACCTGCCTTGGCCTCCCAAATTGCAGGTATTACAGGTGTGAGCCACTGCACCCAGCCTGTTTTCTTTAAAGACTTGAAAGTCCATAAAAATATGTTATTACCAGTTGAAGATTCTGAAATTGTGGTTCCTTCTGATCAGCCCAGCTAATAGCAGGCCAGCAATAGCAATCGTTCAATTATGCTTTTTCTAAGGGAGTGACAAAATGGCTGCTAAGAAAGTTGCAATCGGTGAGGTGAAGATATTTAAGTAAAAATTGTAATTAAAACATTACAAGATCAAAGGCATTTTGTTCTCATAGAAGGGAATAATAACAACATTAAGCCTAAAACATAGGAGAGTGCTGAACTAAGGTTCAAATGATGTAATGAGCAGAAACTGAGTGTTAAGTTTCTCTGCTAAGTATGCCTGCTGCCTGCAATACAAGTAAACGTATGTGTTTGTTTTTAGTGGAAATTGCAACACTAACAAGAAAGAATGAAAAGATGGTAATCAGAAGTTCTCAAACAAAAAGAAGTTGAACAGTTGATCAAAAAACATGAGGAAGAAGAAGCTAAAGCTGGGCCTGAGAAGAAAGAAAAAGAACAGAAAGAAAAGGATAAATAGACAAAATCAGAGATTCGGTTACTCATTTGGGGCACCGTTTCTGTGTAAAAGCTGTCCTGCTCTTCCAAACTAAGAAGGCTTTGACTTTTTTTAACTGGTACAGTGGGAAACTAGGACATTACATACTGAATTGGGTCTTTATTATTACTGTTTAAATACTTTATTGTAATGATGAGGGTCACTTTCTGTGGACATCTTAATCTTCCACACACATCCCCCTTTTTTGGAATAAAATTTGGAAAATAGAAATGAAGGAATAAATTCTCTGTAGCAGCAATTGTTACATATACAAAACTGACAGGGCGAGTATATCTTCTTTTCGTGCTTTACGCACACTGTGGCTTACACTCCTTTCCCGAAAGGGCACATTCGTCAGGCTGGCCAGATTATTCATCTCTGTCTCCAGGGATTGGTTTGAGGATGAACACGTGGGCTGAGCAAAGCCAGGATTGATGTGTGGATATGAGGATCTCGCAGCTAGGACTGAGGCTGCCCACCAAGCTGCATGGAAGATGAGGTGTAGGAGAAGTTAAGACCACAGAGGAAAAGTGAAACCAAGAGATGAGAACCATTACTGTTGGCTGAAGAGAGCTCCGTTGCTGGGTTTTTTTCAACATGAGTTCCCTTGGGATTCTGTGGCTTCGTGATAGAAGTGATACAGGGCAGTGCTACTTAACGTGTAGCCATAGTGCTCGAGCATCACCTGCACAGATTCTGGTGTCCCATCTGAGATCTGCGTTAATACCTCTGAGGGTGGAACCCAGTAATATCTTTTAACAAGCTTTGCATGTGATTCTTAGGAATGCTAAATAAAGCTTTAAGAACTTTTTGTTACACATTAGTTTAGAATCACCTAGCAAGCTTTTGCAACTTGTAATGCCATTTCAACTCAAGCTCTGTGGTGGAACTCAGTAACATTTTTTTAAACTCTTCAGGTGATTTTCATCAGCCAGGATGAGAACCCACGCACTGAGCCATAGTTTGCCCTTCTCTCGGCTGTTGTCAATCAGATATGGTATTCCAGCTTAATTCTTCATTGCAGATTTTCTTAATGCAGCTTCTGGCTGGGCACGGTGGCTCATGCCTGTAATCCCCACACTTTGGGAGGCCAAGGCAGGCAGATCATGAGGTCAAGAGATTGAGACCATCCTGGCCATAGTGAAACCCTGTCTCTACTAAAAATACAAAAATTAGCCAGGCGTGGTGGCACGCACCTGTGGTCCCAGCTACTCGGGAGGCTGAGGCAGAAGAATTGCTTGAACCCAGGAGGCAGAGGTTGTAGTGAGCCGAGATTGTGCCACTACACTCCAGCGCCTGGCGACAGAGCAAGACTGTCGGGGGGAAAAAAAAATGCAGCCTCCTGTAGTTTTCTTTACAGACTAAGGTATTTCTGAGTCCTCTTTGCAGCACTTTTTTGAACTTCTAAATTACTTTTATACTCTGTACAGCTGGTTCATGTTATTTGTGGTAGTTGTGTTCTAAAAAGTCACCACCACAAAAGCTAAGTTAGCAAATACTGAACTTTTGCACCTAGGGAACGCACTGCGTTAGGGTCCTAAAAGCCACTGGTCACATTTTTATCAACGGATTAGTACATAATCTGTTTTGTGTGTGTGTTACTACCTAAAGACACCTTATTTAATGCATGTAATGTATATTGTGGATTCATTAATATAGAACTCAGCCAACAACTCTTTACCTCAATCTTTGTTTTGTTTTTTGAGACTGGGTCTTGCTCTGTCACCCAGGCTGTAGTGCAGTGGTGTGATCATAGTTCACTGCAGGCTCAAGTGATCCTCCTGCCTCACCTCCCAAGGTGCTGACATCACAGCCCTCTTATGCTTAGGAACAATACTAAATAGCATTTTTTTTGTAAAGACAGCGAGCAGGGAAGGGCTCATGTTTTCCATGCTGGTATCAAACTCTCAGCCTCAAGCGATCCTCCTGCCTCAACCTCCCACAGTGCTGACATCACAGCCCTCTTGTGCCTAGGAATGTTAAACAGCACTTCAGTGCTACACCTGGGTGCCATTTTAAATAGTAAAATCACTAAGAAAAATACAAAAATAAATGGCACAAGATAGACTACAAGAACACATTTATAGTGTGAGAGCTGAAACTACAGTGTCACTTTGTTCAACCTCAGCTGGGAACATGTGCCTCTCTGGGTACTCAAAACTTTCACCACTCTGCATGTCAGCAAATGACTAAATACCACAAGTATTGGTTTGTGGGTTACATGTACATTTTATGAGAATGAAATTTTGCAAGTTCACAAGTACAGAATTGGCAAGTAATGAAGATGAATGGCACAACACCTTCACCCTCCAGTCTTGCTACACCCAGAGGTGGATGTAATAAGTCCTGTTATCTCCGTCTCCAGACTGTCGCCAGAATCCAGCCACTTTCCACTGCAGGAAGGCTGCTCTGATTCACCATTCTCTCTCACTTGGACTATTGCAGCAGCCTCCTAAATGGTCTTCCTGCTTCCTCTTCATTTTCTACTGTCAATTCTCGAGCAGCAGCCACAGTGATCCTTTCAAAATGTAAAACTGCTACTACTGCACAGTCTTTGCTCAAAACTCTGCAATGGCTTTCCATCTTGCTCAGTAAAAGTCAAATTGTTTGCACTGGTTCATGAGGTACCCCGCATTCTGCCCCCGTGCTACGTTTTCTGCCATGTGCTTCCTTTCTCATTCCCTGACTGTGCCAAGCCTCCCTGGCATCACTTGCTAATGCTTCTGTCTTGGGAATGCTCTTCCTGGGTATCTATTGCCCACTGCCTCGTCTCTAGGTCTCTGCTTGCATGTCACCTTTTTTGGGCTACTTCTGTGAAGCAGCAAACTCTTTCCCCTGCACATTCACATTTTCTGCTCCCCCTACCCTGCTGAGTTTTTCTTCGTAGCCCCCATACCAGCTGGCATATTCGTTTACTGTCTGTCTCTCCCACTGGAATATAAGCTTCCAGTAGTTTGTTTTCATTCAATAGCTGTGTCTCAGCTCCTAGAACAGAAACTGGACATGTTAGGCAACAAGTAAATACTGATGAATGAATAAATACCATGGATATGCTGGTGTGAAGTCCTAAAAAATACCCACTTTCCATCCAGATCAATAGCACTGGTGGATTTTCTGTATTCTGACCGTCTCTTCAACACTTACCTCAAGCTAGAACAACTTCTTCAAAGGCAACAGTGGATAAGAGAGCCCAGTATATTTTGCTGCCACATTAGGAAAGTCTTCAGAATTTTAACAGGCAAGTTTCAACATATTCATTCTTTTGTTGAAATAAATTCATACTGAGGGGGAAAGAAAAAGAGATAGGAGGTGAAGCAAAGCCTACTCTGTAACTGTGTTTTTTCCCTGCTATAGGGTTTGGCTGCCTAGTCTAGATTCTCACACAGCCTCACTTTCCTCTGCTCTGTGGCATATTTTTAACCCTCATGGCAGGGCCATTGGTTTCCAGAGAGTTGCCTGATGCATCCCAAATATTGCCTTAGCAATACTCATCTGAACAGGGGCTTTTCACTAACAGCAAGCATTTCATCCATCTGGGCAAAACTCATGGGTTTTCACAGGGATTCTACCAGCTCAGAAGCACCTTGATATAAATAAGTATAAAACCAAAGACAGCAAAGTTTTAAATCTTGAGTCAAAATTTTAAAATCAAACTCAAGTTGATTTCATTTTAGCAAGCTTTCAAATTTTGCTTTTAAAACTAAATCATGTAAATAAATCATGTACTGCTGTGTATAATTTTATTTCTGGTGTTTTTCTTAATCAAAAAAAAATTAAGACTAAAATTTTTACAGTCTAGCCACTATGAAATTTCCATGAGAGTGTTTGTTTCAGCAGTGCAAAAATATTTCATACTCTGAAAAACAAAAACAAAAGTTGATTTGTTCCTTTATTGGACACTTACCATGTTTCTGATAATTTTGGGTGATGGGGATATATGGATGAGTAAGACATGTCCTCATCTCTTAACTTGAAGCCTTGCAGGAAAAACAGGGCTATAATCAACCACTTAATATTTTGGAGGAGTAATAGACTCCAGGTGGCTGGGTGCTGAAGGCTAGGGAGTAAAGGCAGAAGGAACTGCATGTGAGAAGAAAGGCTTGGCAATGGGAAAGCTTCGCTGTCGCTGAGCAGAGCTAGAGAATAACGTGCTGGGGGAAGGGAGTAAGAGATGAGGTTGGAAATGTACATAGGATGAGAAGACAGCTTTGCAGGTCTTGAAGTTTGTGCTCTATGCAATGCAGAGGCAGCTGAGATTTTTAATAAATAAGAAAAACAGTTACTCTGACTCATTTAGAGCAATGATTCTGGGTGCCCAGAAGATGGACTAGGTGGGAAGGGACCAAAAGGCAGGGAGGTGAGTTAGGAGGCTGTTGAAATAGGCAAGGAAGAATGAGGGTGTGAGATTGTGTAGGGAAGGAAACAGCGAGGAGGGGAAGCTGCCACCGAGTGACGGAGGAGAGAGGAAGGGATGACAAGGGCATCACATTCATCAAGTAGTCACTATCTGATGTAAAAAGGCCCTCGGTGAACATGAAGAACTACTCTTCAGTTTTCCTAATGTCTTTTCTGTTACTGTTGTTATAACCTGAAACCAAATAGAGTTAATATCCCTCATAGGGAAGAATTCTATAAACAACATTGTATATCACACATGGGGGTAAACCCAGGTCAAATGCTTTTTTCCCCTTTTAATTTGTAATCTTGTGTGCACTGTCTGTTCATCTGTTTTGCCCAATTTCTCTCAGAGAATTTAACTTTTCAAAAATTTATTCATGAGCTCCTTTAAGGTTTGTCTTCTATGTTACAATTTTTTTTATTGCAGCATTTGCGTTTTTATTTTGTTTTTGATGCTCACATACTGAAAGGTTGTTTCGTGTTTATGTAGACAAAGCTATCATTTCAAGTTCGTGTTAGTCTAATGCACATAAAGGTATTCCCCATGCCAAAGTACATCAACATTCTGGTAAATCTATGGTTTAATTATCTTTATAATACACCATTTACAAAATATAATTGTTAATCTTTTTAAAAACAGTATTTAAATTAATCATGAAACTTTAATTCAACTGTTCAGACTACTTGGGAATTTTGCATTCTTGAGTGAATTCA